CACACGTACACGTACACACACAGACACAGACACACACACACACACACACACACACACACACACACACACACACACACACACACACACACACACAATCAACGTGGCGAGCTTTGTACATGAGAGGCACGGTAAAGGGGGAACTGCAAGAACAAATGAAAGGGGTACCCCAAAGAAAGCACACGTGAACACAATTAAGAAAGGGGTTTACATGCCTCTATTATACTTTATGTTGCTTGATATAGAGGTGAAATTGTTTCATTGTTGGATTGTCTCAACTCAAGGGCTTTAGTTGGTTTAATAGCATTGAATATGCTTTGATTTTGGATCTGCTCATCTGGGTGGAATAGGGGCTGTTGTGGTGAAAATTCAACCCACACACACACACACACACACACACACAATAGAATTGAATTACATGTGTTGGATGAGAGCAGTGTGAGGAGTCCAGGACACATATTCATACTCCAGGAAGAAGGAAATGGATACATAAGGAAGGCGGAAAAAGACTGACACAAGGAAGAAGGAAAAAGACTCACACACTCGCAAAATCAACATGGAATGATAATCCATGTTCGATGAGTACAGTCTGCATGTCCTGATCTCCTGCAAGGAGTTCCAACTCCATCGTTCGGTAAGCGCTGTCGATCGCATTCAACTTGTTAACCACAGATCTGATACGTGGCCAATTCTTATCCAGCATCACCTGCAACAGGTCAACCAGCACCCCCCTGGGCTCAGATCCCAGACACCAACCCCCCATCCCCCCCCCCCCCTCTCCAGAACCTATCCAAAAATTGAAAAAAAAACACCCAGGACCAGTTACCAACCTCCTAATTTCAGCCACAATACATAGCAGAAGTCAAAGCAGCCGCTCCCCCCCCCTCCCCCTCCTCTCCTCTTTGGCAGAAGGCAAGGTCAGGTATCATGAAGTCCTTTGAAGATGTATGGGTCAATCCACACAGGAAGATATGTGAGATTAACGATAACACACATATCTCATGGAGCAGCTGGCTCTTAGAGAGGGCTCGTGTGTGCAAAGACCGCAAAGCTGCTTCTCACCCTGTCCTCAGAATGGGACAAAGCAGCCATCATAGGAGTTTCATCACCCGTCGTAGGAGCACTACCCACTGACTCGCCACTGCCCAGCACGCCACACCCCCTTCATTTCCTCCATCATTCTCTCCCCTCTGCTGCCTGCAAACCCTCCCTCACCTACCCCGTACCAAAGCAGCCTCTTTTGTTTTTAAATTTGGGAAACTTTTTAATTTTCTTTTCACGTTGACTCGGGATCACATTTTCGATTTTCTAAAATTTTCTGCAGTTTTATCTAGGCCTGTCCTCCGCAGTCTGCCATAGGTGGTCCATCTGTTGGGTTCCTTCTCAGGCAGCCATATGCCTGCTCTGCTACGAACTTATAAACGAGAACCTTCCCCAATAGAGCGGACACCGGACAGGGATATTAGGGAATTACAGGTGGATGCCAACAGAGCTGAGACGACGTGTCCAGATCGGTTATAAGGGAGTGCATGAAAACCAATAAACCTCCAGGACTACCACCAGGTCAGGATAAGGAAAAAGGCTAAAGGTAGGGGTGGAGTTATCCTACCGGCTTCCCCCGAATAGAACGCCCAGTCATTATAGCTGTATTTGGCACAACTTTCGGTCCAGATGTAGCGATAATGACCGGGCGTTCTATTTGGGTGAAGACGGTAGTTACTACACTTTTTTTCATGCAGTCCACAGTAGTGGAGGAAGAGGATTTCTCTCCTTGTGTTTCGACTTTCAAATTTCAAGTATGTTTTTTTTTTTTTTTTTTTTTTTTTTTTTTTTTTTTTTTTTTTTCTTGGTGATCTAGAGCTGCCAGGGGAGGAGATCTGTCTTAAGACGACGTATGGGCTCTCACTGGCAGTCAAGCCTCCCCAGGAAGTAATCAATGCTGTCATGGCTCCCCAGGCCTTAACGTGGGGAGGCATCATGGGTGGGTTTCTGTGTATTCTCTGACGTTCCGGTGGAAAAGGAACCGCAGTTACCGCACTGATGCTCCCCAGAATGGATATGGGACCGGGCCCAAGTGGACCTGTTTGTTTTTCTTGTTCCAAAAGGATAGGGATATAAGATACCAGACAAATCCGGAGTGACGCTCCATAGAATGGATACGGAGCCAGAGCCATCAGGTTCTGATTTTGAAAAAAAAAAAAGGAAGATATGCGTCTGATACGGGACAAATTGCAGAATTTGCAGGATCATCACAGATGGGCTAAATACCTCGGGATTGACCCAGGATGGTTAGATTCAATTCCTTGGGAATACAACAGAGGCATCAGACCGCTGTAATGACCTGCCACACACGGACTGAGACGCACAGCTGATTTCTGAGTTTTGCTGATGGGATGCCTTACTGAGTTTCCCGCTTGTCGCTGAGTTTTCTGAGTCTGTGTGTGTCTGTGTGTGTGTGTGTGCGTGCTTGCCGGTCTGCATGCCTGTCTGAGTGCTTGTCGGCTTGTGACCCGCAAGGGCACTTGGTTGTTCGGAAAGGCCCGAAGGGCCGGTACTTACCTGCGGCCGTGACATTGAGGGTTGCAGCGGGGAAAACACTCAAGTGGCGGGGAAAGAGCCCCGCGACACTTAGAACAGCGGAAAACACTCAAGTAGCAGGTAGGCCGGTACTGCACCAAGTAGAGGTAGATGTGCCAGGTACTCGAGGCCGAGCAGAAGAAGACAAAAGTTGCCATTTTTTTAGAGGCCCAGTAGTTGTAGGCTAGGTCTAGGCGGGTACCAGTCCAACCAGTCTGAGTCTAGGGCCTGTACGGGCAATATCAGAGTCTGCAATGATGTTTCCCTCCGAATGGGAGGAGGTACCGGTTGCTTGGAGGCCACGCGGCCTAGGAAGTCACTCGCCAAGAGGCAAGCAGGTCCCTATATCTCCAGGAGGAGAGAAGTGCTCCTCCTCATTCTCGGTGTGCAAGTTCGGCGACACACTGGTTGGAGCGCTGGCTGGAGCAGCGCTAGCTTGGAGCAGCGCTACTGGGGAAGGAGCAAGGACACAGGGAGAAGAAGACCATATGCGGAAGGGGGAGCGCCAGAGGTACTTACCTGGCTATGGTGGTTGCCACCTTCATCACGTTGGTGGGCGCTGCAGCAGGAAGGCCCCAGTTGGGGTAGAGCTACACGAAGAAGCTTTGAGGCAGAGTCAGGCATGGCGGCCTGAGCTAGAGCAGCCATAGCTGCTTTGTGTTGTCCTTTGCACAGCAGGGCAGTGCCTTGGTAGTCCGCCATAGCCTCGGTCTTGGAGGAAGGAGGAAGAAGGGTGGCCATGGGTATGGTGGACCTCATGCAATACCTGCAGTAGAAGAGGGATTCGGACATTGATTCTGGTTCAGCCATTCAAACATTACTATAATTATTTCTTGATTGAATAAGAGGGGAGGAGATAAGGAGGAGGAGAGTGGTTGGCGAAGAAGAAGAGCATTATCATTGGTCTATGCTGGTGTGCATCATTTTCTTCCTTCTCTCTTCTTCTTCTTCGCCTTCTTCTTTCCCTCTCTCTCCTCTCAAGTTCATTCATTTCTTTTTGCAATTGGACGGCATTGTACTTTCTGATGAATGTGTACTTCGAAATTGGCCAGGGTCATAACACCACAGAGAATCAGATGCCTCCAACGGTTAATCATGTATAGGAATTTTGCTTTTAATTTCTTGTTCTGCCTCTTCACTGTTCTCCGCCCAGCTAGTCCTCACTCTCTGGCTCCTCTCCGTCCATCCTCTGACGCACCCGACACCAATTCCTTTTGTTACACAGGAACTTTAACAACCTTCCTTTGGTCGAAGATACGAGTCCATGCATCGGCGATTCCCCTTCAAATTCCTTCTGCTTGCTGTCCCTCTTTGAGGGATCTGTTTTCCTGTCTGTTCTCACTACCTCCCTCTCTCATTTCTGCCCTTAACACGGCTTCCCTTATTTCCCTGGCTTCCCCCCATCATGATGCTTCTGGCGAGGTTTCTTTTCCCCATTGTTTTCCTGCACCTTGATGTTAAGATAACCCAACACGGTCCAGGTGCATTTGTGCATCCCTACATGTGTACATACTAGTATGATACTACATACAAATGTACTTTCCCGTAGGTGCATTGTTGCCCATATCTGAGTTTTTAGGGTTCAGGGTTTTGGCAATAAGCAACCTATTGAGCATCGTAAGGGTTAGAAAGGGTTCGCAGAGTACACAGTGATACACACCCTTCAGCACAACCTTTGATTCACCTGAGAGCCAACATGCAAAACACAATCACTCGATTTACAAAGTGGACATCGCTCGCAGGACCTGAGAGAAATGGTGTCCTTGATGCATGTTGGCTGCAGCCACACTGGCTATTCACGGGGATTTCACTTTCACTGCATCCTTCCAATTCCCCCTCCGCCTCCACAGTCCCTCCTCTGTTGCTAATGCCCGAAGTCTCCGGAAAACAATGACAGCGAACTGATGTTGGCCCTTCGCCTCGAGTACCAAAAATACCTTCAATCAGTCTGTGTCGGTTGACATAAAGTACGGTGATAATCCCCTGTCAAGTTGTCGACCAGCACGGCGCCGCAGGCAGCTGGATGGTGCATGGCTGGTTCAAAGTTCAAACCCCTTACATATGACCCCATAAGTGGTTGTAACCTCGACTCTGATACGGTCATACTCTGCTCGACGTTGCGGTACGAGGGAAGAAACCTCAACATTTTTTTTTGGAACAAAGCTCGGACTTGTGATCGCGCACAATCTTCTTTCCAAAGAATTAAAGAAGGCGATTATGTAATTTGTGTTGAAAAAATAATATATATCAGTTCCAGACTGGAAAGACGTATCAGCGGCGACCTTGTCTGTCACATTGCAACGCTAACTTTCCAAAAGGCTGGAAAAGGAAAGGGACAAGGGGAGTCCTTATCCAAATACCCAAACACTTACCTGACCAATCGCTCTCTTGTATGGAAGATGCTCCTCCCTCAAATTCATGTGTGCAATGTGCCCAATTGTTTCAAATGAAGTAGGTATCAAACACCCATCTGGTAACATCTCCTTGAGTACCTACACATCAAACATTGGAGTTAGCCTGCTACTCACCTCTCTCTCTCTCTCTCTCTCTCTCTCTCTCTCTCTCTCTCACACACACACACACACACACACACACACACACACACACACACACCGAGCATCGTTCACCAGTCATAATAATTCTGGCTGTTAAAATTGGAATAGCAGTGGACAGGTGAGATTCATTTTGTCTGATGACTGAAATTACAAGCTGGGGCTGGGCCTCTTATAATTGCAGGTGCTAGTATTCTTCATATCTTTGGGAGATACAATCCTGAGTACTGAAGCTTTGTCAACTGGGGTAGGTGCCAGACTTGAATGAAAGGAAGCCCCCAAAAAAGGCTACAATAAAGTTGAACATGTTTCTCCAAAAAGGGAGAAACGAAAAGCACTTCATAAAAGAACCAAGCATGAATAACATATTTTATCGAGTTGTTCATGTTTGCTTGCTATGGAGTCAAGAACCTCTTCAGATTATGAATCATTCTTCAACCTCTTTCATCAGCACTATGGATAGAGCTTTGTTCACTCCAGCTGTGGAAGCACCCTATGTAACTATTGGACAAATTGCATCAGTTATATCAAGCAGCCAGAAGAAGGCAGGCAGGAAGGAAGGAAGGAAGGGAAGGAAGGGAGGAAAGAAGGAAGGGAGGAAAGAAGGAAGGGAGGAAAGAAGAAAAGGAGGAAGGGAGGGAGGGAGGGAGGAGCAGGGAGGAGCAGGGAGGAGCAGGGAGGAGGGAAGGAGGGAAGGAGGGAAGGAGGGAAGGAGGGAGGAGGGAGGAGGGAGGAGGGAGGAGAGAACGAGGGAACGAGGGAACGAGGGAGTAGGACGGATGGATGGAGAAAGGGAGGGAGGGAGTGAAGGGAAGAAGAAATGAGGGAGCGAGGAAGGGACGGAGTGAGGGAGGGAGGGAGGGAGGGAGGGAGGGAGGGAGGGAGGGAGGGAGAGAACAAATCATAGCAAAAGTGGTAATAGAGATAAAAAAAACTGACTGGCTTGCGTACCTCTTCTGCACTCCAGTAATCATATCCGAGTATCAATTTGCACCGAACGAGCTCAACGAAGGCCGTATTTTCTGACTGCTGTAGTACCGCATGCAGAGAGGCACCTGAAAACTCCTCCTGAGATGATTTGAATTGACCATTGCCCAACGTTTCTGGAAGCCTATCGTTTATTTCCACGTTTGTCAATGATGACTCTATCAAAACCTGTTTGAACAGAGATGACCCATACTTGGGTGGATGCGACATAAAGACTGTTAGCTACTGTCATCACCCACAGCCACTCAGAATTTGCAAGGATGCTCTCTCTCTCTCTCTCTCTCTCTCTCTCTCTCTCTCTCTCTCTCTCTCTCTCTCTCTCTCTCTCTCTCTCTCTCTCTCTCTCTCGATGAACAGGTAAGGGGACACAAAGTTGCACAGGATGCGTTTGCTAGAGTGACACAGGGTTTCAGAAAAAGCAGACTTCAACAAGTCCTCACTTGTGCACTACAGATCTTCACCGGGATCTCCGTAATATCGGAACCATACCTCGCACTGCTTCTTGGTTTGCCCTCTTTGTGCGGCTGCAATGAAATAGGGATGTTCAACTACGGAGTCGATGTAAAAAGATCCATCCATCACAGGTGGTATCGTGGATTTGCACGATGCGAACTGATAGTTAATAACATAAGGCAACAGTTTGGAAGCATGAAAAACTGGAGGGAGTACGCAGATGAGGAGAGGCATCAGTTACTCGGTCTTTCGACTAAACGGTACACACATGGAGCTATTGATAAACAGGTCACAAGTTCAAATCCTGATGGATACAAAAAGACCTTTGGGGCTAGCTCCCTGCTAACAAAAGGAGGGGCATCAATTACAAATGTAGGACCATCAAGGTCATTACCTACAATGTTCAACACAACCCACAACCCACAGTCCATAGTAAACTGGCAGTAACTTCCTGAAGATAATCTCCTCCAGGCTGAATTCTGAGATTCTCACCCAAACAGTATAACCCCCTTGAAACTGGGACAATCGCCCAACACGTCTATATGCTTGTTATGGCTTGATCTATCATATCCTGCTGTGGTTTTTGACCGTTTTTCTAACTTGTTTGTAGTCTTGTGCAGGATTGTCTCAAACTGAAAAGTGAATCCAACATCTGAGGAGTCAAACAGCCAGTACACGTCCCCAGCCTTGCTAAAAGAAACTCGTCACCCGGTCCGAAAAGTTTGGGGCCGGCGTGCCATCGATAAAAAGACATCGGCGGCCAGCATCGCGTTTCGGCCTCCGAAAGGGGCTTGCGGCCGATGTATGGCGTGTACTGGTGGTGGTTTAAGTCCTGCAGTTTTCTAAGGAAACAAGATTTCAATGGATTTAATAGGTTTCCATCTAAGATGCAGTCGGTTTGGTGGGGTCCATCCTGTAGCAGTATCGATAGCGTTATTATAAGCGCTGTCAACTTTAGGCAAATAATCATCCCAATCTACCTGAGTGGGGTTGATGGTACATCGCAGCAGCTATTGCAATTACCTATTTGTCTGTCCATAGGACTTCAGACTATCCCTTGGTCTCAGGTGCGATAGTTTAGTGCCATATTGTTTCATTAAAGCCATTGCTCACCGTTGAACCGGGCATCCCTATCCCTTGCTATTGTCTTAGGCATTCCAAAATCTGCTACCTACCTGTTGACGAAAGACTCTATGTCCAAATCAGTTTTTTATACATTACTTCTCAAAGAGGAATGAATCTAACTAGGGAGAATTCGCAAAATACCCTCAAATGCCCCTGAAAGATGTGGGTAGAGCGGAATGCCCTTTTGGGCCAAAATCTTTGTGTTGTGCCCCTGACAGGCGGGTGTGCAACTTTGCAATCTGGACCTCCCCGTCTGGGCCTTGGCCTTTTGCAATTGCGCCTAGGAGAAGTTGGCAAGTACTGGGGCATTTTGCAAAGTTGGGGTTCCAATCGACACCAGGGGTATTTCACAAAGTATTCTTCTTGTCAGAGGGGCATTCCGTTCTACCCACATCTTTTAGGGGCATTTTGGCATACATCTCAACTTATGGGGGTATTTTGCAAATTATCCCATCTAACTAACTCGGAGAATCAATACTAAAAAAGAGGGAAAAAGAAAACACCACGAAAGGAGAACCGGTGTAAAATCACACGCGTCTCTGCTCCCGTTTCTGCAGGTGATCGTAGTGTCCATGAAATGAAATCATAGAGGAATGCTGCCATTCTAGAGAATAGGAAAGCCTCAAGGCTATTGACTCACCCACACCCAATGGACCACGAAGGAAGAGGCTTTAGCAAGCCTAGAGGCGCCCAATTACGGGGGATTTATTCCATTAGCAGACCTCACAACTTCGTACCTATGCATGAAGTTATGAACATTGTGTTTCAAACCAGGCCACAAGAACTGTTCCCACAAATTAAGTGTAACTGCTCCCACAGCTTAGATATAACTCTTTCTAAAGCTTAAGTACCTTGCAGTATCAAGGCTAGAGGTCCTCGGGTACGGGGTTTATTCCTTCAGCAGACCTCACAACTTTCTATGTATGTGCAACCATCGTGTCTTAGACCAGGCCAGCAGAACTGCTCTGCCGCAGATTAGACTTAAACCACCAGTACATCCGGGCCTGTTTTGTAGGAGCAGCAAGCTTTGCCGAAATGCCAGCATCGTTATGGTTTTGGTTGGCACCGCCAGCCATTTTGGTCTGGTTGCCCCGACCCTCCGACATTTTACAAGAGGCTCAATCGTGATCCTCAAGCTGGCTGAAGTCATGTACTGGTGGTTTAAACCTTTAGGAGGCTGCCCACCGCCGATTTGTTTTATCTAGGGCGCTCAGCCTCCTAAATTTTCGGAGAGGCTCAAAACAGATTCTCCAGTTGCCTGGGGCCATGTACTGGTGGTTTAAGTCTTTGTAAAACCAAACAGCCTTGCAGTTTAGGGACTCGCATTAGGGCCATATAACCTTTTCCAACCCATCCTTCCCAAGGACCAGCAAACCCTTGACCATACTATGCCCCCCACTGACAGTCTTATCCTTATCTTGGAGGCTTCTAATGATCTCGCTAAGTATGCCGTCCCTGAGGTAGGAATTGACAAGGTGCTGATCATCTGTGCCAAACTGAGTTACCATAGCACCAGCGTAGTCAGGTCTGCACGAGAGCACATCAGTAACCGCATCAGGTCCACATGAGACTTAAATTTTCTGATCTCTGTCTACCACTTTGTGAGAATGTCAGAAAGCTGTGACTATTATTTTCTGGCTGTTTTAATCCATTGGAGTGTCTCATGATCAGACTTGACGTCGAAGTGTCCACCAAATAATTCTTACATCCTGCTCTCTCTCTCTCTCTCTCTCTCTCTCTCTCTCTCTCTCTCCCCACACACACACACACACACACCACCACCAAGTGTACACTTCCTTGGTAATCTGGAAGGGTTTAAGGATCTTCAGCTTGTAACAGTGCAGCACCAAGGTTGACGGAGGGCCAAAGAAAACATAAAAAGGTTGAGGGAGGGTAGGTATCGGTATGGGGTTAACCTTGAGTGGTTCAGGAAGCTCGCTTAAGGTCCTCGCCGCTGCATATCTGGAATCGAGCAGCAGAAGCCGGGAGGATGCTTCCAAACCACCTCTGGCCCTGCGAAGCCTCTGTCTTTCACCCTTAACCACTTGCACTTGAACAGCCCTGGGCCTCTCACTTCCCATCGGCCAACTCAAAGGCTGACCAGCATCAGATCGTCCATTGATGTTGTTGTTCTCGGCGGCCAAGATGTTTCCTCCAACACCTCGTTGTGATCGTCTTTTCTCCTGTTTGCCTTTAAGCACATGTGGTTTCTTCCGCAACCGCCCGCCCTGCCCGTAAACGGCAGCTATAACCGACTGACGGAGGTCCTCGCCCTCGCCAGGGTCCTCGCCGAGATCCCAACTCAAATCTTGCACCAGGTTGTCCTCCTCTCCTATCTTCTCCCTCGCGGTATTTCGCCTTTCCCCCATATCCATATCCTCCTCATCATCATCATCATCATCATCATCATCATCAGGAGGAGGAACGTGAACCACGTTCTTGACACGTGGCAAGTTAAGTAGATGCCCTGACAGTCGCCTGACAAGATTTCCGCACATCTCTATCCCCACCAGAAGAGCAACAACATCAACCTTCCTGTCAAAGTGCGATCTATCAAGTACATCTCCAATCAAAGCACCAGCACCAGCAGTAGCAGCTGCAGGAGGGTTGTTTTCAACCACCATCTCATCTTCAACAGAGTAACTCTTTTTCATCTCCTCTCTCTTGCCTTCTTCCCTTCCCTCCCGATCCACCCTCTCAAACTCCTCTGTCCTCTTCCACGTCATCCCTGCATGAGCACTCTCCGTCGCCGAGCTCCTCCTCCTCCTCCCTCCGGACGCTCCGCTCATCTCCTTCTCTGCAGCCCATTTGCCCGCAGCAACACTTGTAGGCCAAACATTCCCCGGGAACAATCCATCAAGGCGCTGACCGGCACAATCGTTCAACATCAGACGTTGACCGGAAGACTGATTCCACATTGGACGTTGACCAGCACACTCGCTTGGCATCGAACGTTGACCGGCAGACTCTTTTCGCCTCGGACGTTGACCGGCAGACTCGTTTCGCCTCGGACGTTGACCGGCAAAATCATTCCGACTGGAGGACTGGTTCCACGTCGGACGTTGACTGGCACACTCGATTGGCATCGGAAGTTGACCTGCAGACTCTTTTCGCATCGGACGTTGACCTGCAGACTCTTTTCGCATCGGACGTTGACCGGCAGACTCATTTCGCCTCAGACGTTGACCGGGTGAATCAGTCCGACCGGAAGACTGGTTCCACATCGGACGTTGACCAGCACACTCGCTTGGCATCGGGCGTTGACCGGCAAACTCTTTTCGCATGGGACGTTGACTGGTAGACGCATTTCGCCTCGAATGTTGACCGACAGAATCATTCCCAGTCGACCGTTGACCGGAGGACTGGTTCCACGAAGAGCATTGACCGGCAGGTATGTGCCACGCCAGACGTTGACTGGGAGACTCGTCCCACGTCAGAGGAGGAGGTCTTCTCTTTGCAAGCGACCAGGGCCAGAGTGACTGAGCAGCGTCACCCTCGATGGCCCAGGAGCCCAGACCGCCGCCATAGCCAGCAGAAGACAGGGGGGATCCACGGCCGAGGAGGAGAGCCGCCAGGGTCACCTTTCGGCCCCGGCCTGCTAAACACTGTGCGACAGCTGCCGTCGGATTTGCTGCCGTACGGAACATCATTGTGCGACAACAACAACAACGGCCTCCTCCACCAATCCCGATCCCAACCCTCACCCCTGCCACTGCTGAAAACGGCATTTTCTTTCTTTTTTTCTTCTCTTTTTTTTTTTTTTTTTTCCTTTTTTTTTTTCTGTAAATGCAGGTCACTCCATCTCCAGCATCATTGCTCTCTCCCAATCCTGATCTCCTTAAACTTCTGCTGTCAGTTTCTCCGCTGCAATTTCACCATCGGTGGCGCCGATGCGAGATGGCGGCGATCTGAGAACCAACCAATTAGGGTATACTCATACCGGCGTTTGCAAAATGTATCTGACCGCAATTACGGCCGGACCTGGATGAATCTGTCCGCAACCATGTCCGGATGCAGGTCACTCTATCTCCAGGTGCATTTCTTTCTCCTGGCCGATCCCCCGATACTTCTTCTTCTGTCAGTGTCTCCGCTGCAATTTCATTATCGGTGGGGTCGATGCGGAATGGCAGCGACCTGAGAACCAATTAGGGCATGCTCACACTGGCACTTTCCTAAATGTATCTGACCGCAATTACGGCCGGACCTGGATGAATCTCTCCGTAATCACGTCCAGAAAGGCTCAGAAGAAAAAGTCCTAGTCTGAAGTATGCTCTTCCGCTGAAACATCCAAAGACAGCACAACAAAAGGGCAAGCACACCACGTCAGCCAACCCCTCCCCCGTGCGCCCCCCTTTCCCCCCAACCCCCCCGGCCCGCCCCCGCCCCCGCCCAAGCGCGCCCCGCCCTCCCCCCGGCCCCAGCCAAAGAAACAAACTTGAAAGTGCCAACCACGTCAGATAATGATTCTAAGCTTCCCGGCTGTGATGTCTTCCCTCAGGGATTTGTGACGACAAGGAAGAAGAAGTCTGTGGGACATGGAAGAAGCCTGTCCGACATGAAAGAAGTTTGTGCGACATGGACGAAAAATACTTTTTTTTCGCACATGTCACACATACAAGCTTCACTATTTTTCTTTTTTTCTTCCTTTTGTTCGCAGCTTCACTTGCTTCCCAGTGATGAGCCTTTTTTCTCAAAATATGACACAAAAAATACAGCGTATTCTCTCTCTCTCTCTCTCTCTCTCTCTCTCTCTCTCTCTCTCTCTCTCTCTCTCTCTCTCTCTCTCCATATTCACTCCCTCTTCCGACCACCCACCCACTCACACACACGTGGCCCGACCCCTCCGTTTGAGTTGCCCCTTCTCTCACCCCCGTCTGCTCTCTC